GATTCTCAGATTCTCCAGTGTGGTGCAGCCATTGTCAGACTCTATCCTGTGAGCTTAGCTGATAAATCTCTATACATATTCATTCTACCAGTTCTGTTTCTTTGGAGAACCCTGACTAATACAGTGAGTGACCAACCACTTTCTGATGGAATTTAAATTCTATTTCAAACTATGGAGCCCATATAAAACACTTTTTTTCTGGCATGTTTTTAGTGTAGCACACAGTGTCCATAAAAAAGTAGAATTATAGGTGACCGTTCTCCCCCAGCAGCCTGCATAGCACCTTCCAGCAACATAAAAGCCGTCAACATATGAAACAGCATATTCCAGTGCTAAATTCATATTCCACATGATACTTTTTCCAAATCAGTTGGTAAATTTCCCAATCTTCTCCAGAACATATGACATAATCATGGAAATTGTCACAAATTTAATCAGTTTGAGGAATTTTCTGTGAAGAAAATTTTTTGCCTATTTTATAGTAAGGTTTTGTAATTTTTGAATACTTACTGTGAAATATATAGGGTTCTCTAACTGTACTGATTCCCCAAGGCCAGGCACATCCTTCCATAATCTATAGGTGCTTCTCCTCCTCCTCCTGATGACGACCCTTCATCTTCCGCTCATCCCAACCCTCCTCCTCCTTTCCCTCTTCCTTCTCCTTTTCCATTTTCTGTGTTCCTCCGTCACTCCATGTATGAGGGTAAATCTGGAATTTTGTCCTCCTGAGTCTGGATTCTTTTGCTTAAAAATGAATTTCATCCCTAGCTTTTTTCCTGCTGATAGTATATTATTCAAAATCTCTGAATAATGACCCATTTTGTATATTTGTTAGCACTTTATCCATTCACCCATTAATGATTGCTGCTTATGTTTGAATCTGAAATGTGTGCCACAGACTCACGGTTTGAATTTGGGATTCCCAGCTGGCGGTACTTTTGGGGAGGTTCAGCTAAACTTAGAAGGTGAAGTCTAGCTGGAAGAAAAATGTTTAATTTGTGTTTGACTTCCTGGGAACATGTGAATAAATGTCTGTTGAGATGAGCAAATAGCTTATTACCCTTGATATGGAAAAAAACCAGAGCAAAGAAAGAATTCTACCTAATAATAGACTGGTCAAAATTTTAATGATGCTAATTATAAAAGAATGACAGTGAGTTTACTTACAGGAGCATGAGTGTCTCTAAGGAAGCTGCATCACTAAAAATTCCCCCTCCAACATGGGTGAACACTGAAAACCTGGCCCAATGACCAATTTAAGGTTTTCCTACAGAGTAGTCTCTTCATTCATGGACAGTGTTTTCTGATTATATGACTTTGGGAAAAAAAGAAAAAAAAACCTCATGTGTCATAACTTTCAAAGCTTCCCGAGTCCCATATGTTTCATGAACTTAATGTGGCTTTGATGTTTCATTTCTATTTGATTATTTATGAGTCCCCTTCCTCCCTCTAAAAGGGAATAATTCAATGACAGGTAATAGATGAAGAGCACTCCACCTTTTCCTCTACTTCTCACATTTTTTCTGCCCAGTCTTCTGTGATGTTTCCTGTGCTTTGGGCATGCTAAATATGACTGTTAATTTTCTTCCACTTGTGGATGAGTACTGGGCCCTTATCCCACAGCAACCATCACTTAGTCCCAGTATCTTGACCATTTGTTAATCTCTGTATTAACCGCTGCCCACTGTAAAACAGAAATTTCCCACTACAATCAAGGCTAACCACAACCCACAACTGTGAACATAAACATCAATGCTTAGAAATTAATTTTATCTTTAATAAAATGATATCAATTTTATCCCTTTTAGGGCCTATGGACTCCTCGGTCACATATGTTTGCTTTTTGTACAGTACCAAATGCCAATTCCCTCCTGTGTAAAAGAACTTATCTTCCATCTAATCGTTTTGGTTGCACACAAAATAGAGGTGCCACGTTTGCAGAAAATTGCACCTCTTAAATCTCCTCAAGCAACACCACCAACTGGGTCAAGCTCAAATACTTAGAGTCTATGGGGGGCATTTTGAATTCAAATCACCACAATCAGTATGTTTTTAAGTTTTTCATGATTTTTTTAAAAATTACCTTTCTTTGTATTTAACTTAGTAGCATGTAGAGCAATTAAAGTAAAATCTGTTTAATGCTGTCTACAGAATTGTATTTTTATACATTTAAAATATGTGTGCTCTTTTAAAGTACACTGTCACAGGCAGCTTGGTTGTCACTGCTCTTTCTATATATAAAACTTCTCTATTTTCTTCATTACCTACAAAAGTGCTCATTTTGCACCTCTGTGTTTGTGAGAAGTTTCATGACCTCTTCATTCTTTGAATAATTTGATCTGCAGTGTTGAGTTACTGTTCAGTTTTATTAACAAACATCACTGTGCTTGCCAGAGTATTTTACAAATAGAACATTGGAAGTACTTTACTAACACAGAGACATTTGTCTATGCACTGACCTTCTTGACTTCTTACTTTATTAAAGATTTAATATTTCCATACCTACTACACTACAGTGAATATTATCAGTGAATTGGTGAACACGTTTCTTTATTAAATTTAATGTTTCCATACCTACTACACTACAGTGAATGTTATCAGTGAATCGGTGAACACGTTTGAAAAACTATACATTGAAAAGGTATACATCATTCCATAGTTTATTATGGAAACAAGCCTTAAAAAAGTTTGTTTCAAGTTTAGCTGTTATAGAAAAATACCATATAAAATGTAAACAATTGTCTTTAAAAGATTAAACTGAGTTTTTTTCATTTTCTTGCAATATCAGAGATACAATTTAAAACATTTCCAGATATTTCTTTAGTTTCTAAAATTTCCAAATTAGCTCATCACTTCAAAATGCCTCCAGTGTCAAAGTATCATGCTTTAAAAAAAAATTATTGAGTATGTCATACAGGCATATAGGTATTTTGATCGTATGGGGAGATAAACCGAGTTTTCTTGAATCAAATCTCTGTAATTGCATCTTTGGAATGGAAGAGTTACAGAGGGAAACGTGAAGATTTGATTTTTTGGATTTTCACAGTTTGGTAAGATGACATTAGAGAAACTGACCAAAACGTGCTTCATTTATTCCTGTGATGTGTTTGTAAATCAGATTCTTATGATTGTTCCTCCTGCTTCTGCTCCTCCTCCCCTCCTCCCACCCTCCTCCTATTCCTGTTCCTTCTCCACCTCCCTCTTCTCCAACTCCTGCTCCTCCTTGTTCTCTTTGTGCCCCTCCTCCTCCACCTCCTTCTCCTGCTCCTCTTCCTCCTCCTCCTTCCCTACATCACCTTCTACCTCTGTTCTTCCTCATCGCGCTGCCTCCTCCTCCTCTTCCTCCTCTTCCTCTTCCTCCTCCTCCTCTTTCTCTTCCTCCTCCTCCTCTTCCTCCTCTTCCTCTTCCTCCTCCTCATCTGCCTTCGGCTCCTTCTCTTTGTTCTCATCACTATCAGCCTCACCTCCTTTTCCTTCTAGTCCTCTTCCTTCTCCCTCCTATCTTCATCTTCTAAATTCTTCTTCCTTCTCCTCCTTCTCCTTCTTCCTGTCCTCCCCCCTCACCCCTCTCTTCCTCCTCCTCAGCCTGTGTCTTCCTCCTGCTTCTCTTCATCTTCCTCTTCTTCCTATTCTTCTTCTGTTTGCTCCCTTCCTCTTCTTTCTCCTCCCTCTTTTGTAGTACAAATTCAGACATTTAAATAAAAACAGATAGCTAAAGATATGCGGTGACTCTGCTTGTGCAAATTATGGATAAAAGTAGTATTAAGTTAATGTAAAGAATGAATTAAAATGGTAATTTTCAATACACTAAAGCCACCCACAAGGAACTCTCCCTAGTAAATGAGTCTTCAAAGCAAAGCTGAGCTGAAATAATATCACAGAATACTTAAAAAGCATAAAATGAAGAAATAATTGTGCCATATTCCAAAATTTTTAGTGATGTTTCTTCAAACTTTACATATGTAACAACCTAATTTATGGTTTAAAATGAAGGCGTTATATTATAGGAAACATTTAATACATTTTCTCTTTCTATAAATTAACTTGTAGGTCATGAGAATCTTAATTTTTGTTGACAAACCAAGGCAACTCTCTTTCACTGGCTTCACTTGGAAAATTTGATCACATAGTTAATTATTATCTATGTCCAACCATCCTGAAGAAAGATACAAAGGATTTATCAACTCTGAAAATAATACAACACTTATCTTAAAGAGGGGAAAATAAAGCAGGAAGAAAACCCTCTTGAAAACTCTAACACTATCCTTGATCTTGAGCATGTGGTCCTATAAAGTCAAACCTCTTCTGCTGGTCGTTATAAATTCTCCTTTCAATATTAGAAAGGCAATTGTAAGGAAATTTGGATTAGATTAAATTATAAGCTAAGGATCACTGGCTAATGTCATGATTTTAAGATAAGAGGCAAAAGTATAAAAATAAAATGGTAATTATGCTATTGAATTATCCCAGAAATGTGGCAGTTTTAAATTTTGTTAAAATGAAAACTCCATAATAAAATGAGTTTATTTTAAATGTAATATATAAAGCCCCAAATAAAATTTTAGCAAACCTTCGGAAAATCCTCTGTTGTAAATATCCCATATTTATAAATAATCTCTCCATTGTATTTTGTTTAAAGTAATAACTTATACAAAAATCAAGCTCTAAAAGTGCATTATTGCAACACTACCTCTTTTCAAGCCCAAATAGTTTGGCTCATAAAACAGCAGTGAACTGACTTTTAAGAATAAATGCACCAGTGCCTTCTGTAGAAGTCCAATGTCTTCTTAAAGTGTTGCTCAGCAAATTGAAGAGAAGCGTATCTGAAAGCGGCACTCACCTGAGAAGCCGTTTGTGTTCTCACCATTCATGTTACTATATCAAGGATTTTCTGTTTTTCAAATAAAAAACGCACATTATGGTTCCTCGTATTTCTGGAGTTCTGTGCAGTTGTGACTTCATAATGCAGAGATTCTGTGGAAGGTAAAGTATTACAAATTTCACTGTAATTTTGGGGGGGAAATTGAAACACGGAGAAGAAAAGCAGCCTGTCCTCTTCTCTGAACCTGAGCGCCCCCTGCTGGTCCTGAAAACCACGCAATGAGGTTTGGTCTGGGCTCACAGGGAAGTCCTTTCACTGTGTCTCTTGCACGGTAATAGGTGGCTGTGTCTTCAGATCGCAGGCTGCTCATTTGCAGGTAGAGAGTATTTAAATCATTTCTTGAGATAGTGAATCTTCCTTTCACAGATGCAGTGTATTCTGTTGTGTAACTATTAGCTTTGTTTCTTATAGTACCAACCCATTCAAGGCCCTTCCCTGGAGCCTGGTGGACCCAGCTCATGTAGTAATCACTGAACGTGAATCCAGAGGTTACACAGGAGAGTCTTAAGGAACTACCAGGCTGCACCAAACCTCCCCACACTACACCAGCTGCACATCACAATGGACACCTGTAAACACAAAGAATCCTGGTCAGAAACCCGTCACACATATCCCTGTCCCCTCACTGGTGTCCACTCACACACCCAGTATGCCTTGGTCTCCATAAATCACCTTGTAAGAGAGCAACAAGGAAAACCCAATTGAGCCCGAACTCCATGGTGAGTCTGTGTCCAGTGCTGACCACTGAATGGGAGCACCTATGGCTCTAGGCTGGGCTCCTCTGCCAAAGCTGCAGGGTCAGGGCTGGGCTGGTTATCAGGAGCAGAAGGAGGTCTGATTTGCATGTCTTCTGGCTATATCATAAGCACTCAGGGGTGAGGGAGTAATAGAAAGGACAGTAATCAGTGCAGAACACATAGAGGAAATGGATAGGTTAGAGGTCAGTCAGTGCAAAATAGTCTTTATTAGATGTGATAAAAAATTAGACTATTATGTTTTATTCATGAACACCCCTCTGATTGTTACCCTGATTCACAAAAGAAATCAATAAAATAGAATATTGTTTTGAAAGTTTTAGGAAAAGTAGTATAAATATGAATGATTATTGGACAGATACTTTAAAATAAAGAATATCATGAAGATGTATCTCAAGCTTGTAGCATACATGCTATCCAGGTGCAGATCCCTTGTTATCAAAAAAGTACAGAAAGAAAAATGCTCTCCAGGATTATAATTTGATAAATAAAAAAAATCTAAAACCTGTGCTTGCATAGATGTTGGAGTGCCTTTGTGTTTGAGGTAAGGCATCAACTCACTTGTTATTTAAATGTCCGTGTCAAAGTAAGTACAGTTCCTAAATCTGTGGGATGGTTCCCTTTGAGATGCCTGGGCAGTTGGGCCATGTTTGGATGTCCTCCCTTCTCCTCAGAACCCTTGAGGATATGGAAATTGCACAGTGTAGGGGGCTAAGTCACAGGACGATGATCTTGAAGCAATGGCATCTTCCATGAGAAAAGTGTTGGATTATAATTTTTACCTGATGAACTCATTCTCTGTGAGAGAAAGTATCTCCATGGCTAAGAGATTCTGTTAATTGTGAAGTTACTGTTTCTGCATCATTCCTAGGAAAGTGATTTAGGTTGAACTCACTAACTAGTCCATGTCAGTTCTGCTTTGGTTCTTTCAGAGAAACATTGCAACTCCTTAGGGGATGGATTCTTGAGGGTTGTGTTCAGTTATGGTGATTACACATTAAGTGAGAGGAGGAAACTGCAGATGGAGTCAGGAAATGCTCTTGCTGGCCCCTGTCTGCATGTGCCTGACAGACTCCTGCCTAGGCTCAGGTGCGAGCACCACCTGGTAACCTACACTCCTCCTGTAGAGAGGTTGTTCTTATCTGGGGATCTGATTTGGTATGATACTCCAGGTTCTGGCTAGTAGATGGGGCACATCCAGGACATGGACCTTGGGCTTCCCCCATGTAGCCTCCTTAGATCGTTAGGCCCATCAGCATTTGATGATGGCCTCAAATGAGATTTCCACTCACAAGATTTCTAGAGGTATTTGATGCCAATCTTTGTGTACTTACTCTGATGGTGTGTTCCAGTTATCATCCTCTTAGAAATGGACCAGTCTGTCTTGACCACATGTTCCTACAATGAACAAAAACAAACAAACAAAAAAACAGAAAAACCCACTACACATGGGTGTTTACAGTACTTTCAATCACACCTCTTAGAAACTAGATGCAGTTAAAATATTAACATAGTAAACTCTGTGGTTAGGTAGATGTTGTAGTTTCTTTATATTGCTGTGCTAAAAGACCCTGATCAAAAGCCATTTTAGGTGACAAAAATTCTATTTAGCTTAGAATGTCAAGTTTTAGTCCATCGATGAGGGATGGCATGGCCAGAATTCAAGGAGATAATCAAAGCCTATCTTCAGCATGCAGAAACGAATGTAATGTAAAGCAAAGGCAACTTTGATATTTTAAAAGGTAACCAGGAAAATAAAGACCAAAAGTAAGTTTTTAATATCCATATGCATTTCATACAAATAACATATAATAAGTGAGACCATTATTAACCAGTAAGTATTACTACCTAAGTTATGGAAATCTGCTGCTGAAATCCATAAAATATGTGTAGCTGGATCTCAGGCACTAAAGAGTTTAATTAACTGATGTGCTGGAGACATCATCACTGCAGTGTGTACAGGTGAGCGACAGCAGGGAAATGCTCCACCAGAAAACTGTTAACTTGAATACAACTGTCAACTTCAATTGCTTACTGTGTGTGGACCTCTCGCCTGATACACACAGGTGCAAGGGGCCCACTGTCTATGAAAATTGCTGTGCTCAGTCTCAGTGGGAGACAGACTGGGGCATTGATGGAAACTGGGAACTTTATATATAAAGCCTGGAGTGTAATGAAGAGAAATGCTGTGATCCAAATATTTATACCATTCTTCATTTTCATTTACTAATATGTGAACATGAGGGGAAACCTGGAGATTGTATGTGGAAAGAATGCTTCCATTACTTGTCTGCAAGACTAAAATTGCTTTAGGTAAAATATTTCTAGAAAGCTATATAAACAGTAAGACTGACAAGAACTTTGGAAGGGATTCCTAGGAACGGCAGTGAAAACTGATTAGAAATATTTGTACTAGAAGGTGGTCTGAGACGACCATTTGAAAAGGTGAAGCACTGAAGCCCAAACTCCCAAGAAGGAAGTCCTGTCCGGTATTTGTTCTCTGTATGTATGAGTGTATTGCCTGCATGTATGTAAGTGCAATGCCCAAAGAGGTCAGAAGAGGGCGTGGGATTCCCTGGAACTGGAGTGATGGATGGTTGTTAGACACCATGTGATATCAGGAATCTAACCCGAGTCCTCTGGAAGAGCAGTCAGTACTCTTCACTGCTGAATCCTCACTCCAGCCCCCTGTTTTGGGAGGTTTTAGGAGGGGCAACCTTGCAGAAAAGTATGTCACATTGGCATGAGACAGCAGACAATGGGGGAACAGGGGCCTCAGGAAGTGAGAAGGCTTCCTTACTTTTGAACATTCTTCCTGAGCTCCAAACTCTGATTGGGTTCCTCCATCTTGGCCAGTGCCTGACAGCAGAATTTGTTATAGATCTGTTCTGAGTTGATCCTTTTTTAAAAAAAATTTTTTTTGTTTATCATTTGTTTATGAATGTATTGTCTGCATATACGTAAGTGTATATATGTCATGCAGTGCCCATGGAGGTCAGAAGAGAGTGTCAAATCCCCTGCAACTAGAGTTATATACAGTTGTTTGCCCCCATGTGGGTGTTGGGAATTCAACCCAGGTTCTCGAAAGAGCAGCCAGTACTCCTTAACCTCTGAGTCACCTCTCCAGTCTGCTGTGTTGATTTTTGTCATCCATCCTGTAATGTGATCTTGACCAGGAAAACATAAGGAAATACTAGACTCAGTATTGGAATCCTGGGGGCTTTAACCTTCCGCCTGAGGATGCATCAGGCTGAATGTCCCCTGGATCAGCAGAGCCGGGATGATGGGGGATAAGGATGAATGTGAATGGTCTACTGGTGTGAAGGAGGTAGGCTTTGGGTCTATTTCATGCTGCAGCTTCACTGTAGTGAGAACTGATTTAAATGCAGTCATGATAATGGGGCACTTTGTATAAAAACAATAAAATTATTTCATCATATTAAAATGAAGCATTTCTGAGGAGTTGTGTAAAATTTCCCCTTTAATCTTTAATTAAAATTCAAGTAGAAAATAAAATGATATGTATCCTTCTATAAATATTGCAAGAAACATTATATATTAGTCTTTTCTTTCTAACCCTGTAAAACTTAGAACATGGTTTAGGATAAGGCATTCTAATCTTTTAATCCAACCATACTCTGTAAGACTTTTGTGTAAAGAAAGGCCCTGATGCATTCCTGAACCTGATGGGCTGGGGTGGTGTGGCTCTGCTTCCTTCCAGTCAATTCTTTGAAACTAGCCAAACAGGAAAGACTGTGAGCTCACAGCCCAGCTGATGAGGAAAAGACATAGTCCTCTTGCATTAGAAATAAAATCCCACAAATCTTACAGGCCCTGTGTGCTTGCTGGATGTGACTGACATCCAAGACACCCTCTTTTTCAAAAGTAAAATCTGCCTGAGTTACTTTTTTTGCTTTGTACATGTGTTCTTCATGATGTGTTGATGGGGTTCATGGTACAGATGTTCTACCAAGTCACTGCAAACAGTAAAGTATCTAATATTCACCTACTGTCTTTTTTCTGTATGTAACATATGTATATGATGATATACAGACATATCTCTTCCCATGTTCGATGTTCAGTGAGTGCTGACTATAAGCATACTGATGCGGGGCCATCCACTGTAACGTGAAAATCCTATCAACTGACACATCTTTTCAAAAGAGGGATTTTGATGTTTAGGTTGTGAATCTGAGCCTTCAAGGGTAAACTGCCTCTCCAGTCCACCACAGAAATTACTCTATAGACACACACACGTAAGGGGAGTTCAGATATGGGAGGGGATCTAAATATGATTAAAATATATTGTGTAAAATTCACAAAGATTCAATAAATAAGTGATTTCTCTCTCACAGAGACTGTCCACTGCCAATAGCTTCTCAACAATGGGTGGGGCCTGGAGACTGTCTGCTTGTCTATGGCAGAAATTTGGATGGCTTGAATGTTTTTTTTTCAGTTCTGGTACAGGTAGCCTCTGCTGCTATGAATTCATGTGTGTGGGACAAAATATTAGGCAGTAGGTTCAGGCTGACGAAGCCCTATTGTGTCTGGCTGCCTTTCTGAGTGGATCGACGCCAGTGTAATATTCTCGCCAGCACAGAACAGCATTGTTTTCCATTGGATTGTCGGTGTTCTCAGAGCTCTTCAGGTCACACCAGCTGTCTTACTCGCCCTCTTTCTGGAGGCATTGCATTGTCTGTTCATCAACACTTACTCCACAGTCATCATTACTACAAGTGTCACCCGAGCAAAGCTCCTGTAGTTCACATATGTCTTCAGAAAGATACAACATGCAACATACCTTCAGAACATTGTGGTAATAATCCTGCTATCAGGGTAAATACCATAAGAAGTGGAGAAGTCTGAACAGGAAAAGAGTAGGACTTGTGAGTTCTTCCCATTCTGTCTGTGTCTTTCATTTCCTTCTCTTGTCACTATAACAAGTTTCCTATTATTACATTCAGTAAGAATGGAGAACACTAATGCATCTCTCAACTCTCATCAGCGAAGATTCCTCATACAACAGATTGTGATGCACACAGAATGTCACAGCTGGTCAAAGTGTAGAGAACAAGACTGAAGAGAGCATGTCCCTGGATAGGACCCCTATGTTAACCCTCACCCACCCAGGGCTCAGGGACCATTGCAAAATAGGGAGTGGAAAGTCTGTAAGAGACATGGTTAGTGCATGATAATAAAGAAAACAAGTTTTCCAGGCCTCTGGGCACTTGCTCATATGAACTTACAGCTATGATATCAGGATGCACAAGACCCATCCAAACTCAATCAGACAAAAACCCAGAATAGATCTGGGGAAATAAGCAGGAGTCCCTAATCTTAACCAAAGGGCAATTGGTAGCTGATTACTTCTGGGTGAGGGAGATTTGATCTTTAAGAGAAGACTCTAAATAAGTTAACTAGACTCCAGTGGATGGGTATGTACTGAGGGACATTTGGGTACACAAACTTACTCCACAGGCTTGATATATATTACAGATGCATGGAATCCAGTGGAGGTGGTGTCTAATTATGATTAAGATGTTTTGTATGAAATGTGCAAAAATTCATAAATAACTTGAACTGGGAGGGAGGAGGAAAGGTTAGACAGGGAGCAAGCGAGGAGAGGTAAATAAAACCTAGCTGTGTGAAAAACCAGAGGGAAACATATTAGTCCAAAGCCCTACTGAAAAATCACACATACAACATCTCTACATGAGCTCATGTGTATAGCTGAGGCTATAACGAGAAATAGTGCTACAGAGGACATACATCCCTTTGATTTGTTGGTCAGGGTACTCCAAGGGACTTCTAAAATTACATAGTCTATTGCCAGAGCCCATGATTTCCTCCCAGAACTTGAAGGTAAGACATGATTGTGAAAGATAGGACATATTTCAGACACGGGACATAGAGCAGTGGAGCTAGAACTGACTTGGAATTCACCTCCCTGAAGGCTAGCTCACACAGTTTTGGAGAACCCTATGCAAGCTGCTAAGAGAGAGCATCAACTGATGGTACATCCAGATGTAAAGCCCAATAGTCACAACAACTGGCACAGCAAAGTATATTGGGGCAGGGGTAGCACTTTTATCTTGAGGATAATCAATACTAACTAATTAGACTTTAAATCCATTCAATGGGAAGGAACTCATGTGTGGTACTTTAAATATAGCCAAATACGCATGGCTGGAGAGGTCACAGATCTTAGAGAAAACCCCACAGTCATCACAACACTTGCTCGTATGAACTTACAGCAATGTTGGCAGCATGCACAAAGTCCAAGCCAACACAAGCAGACAAAAGCACACCACAGAATGTGGAAATGGGCAGCAGGCCCCAATCTCTGCCAATGAACTACTGTCAGCTGATTGCTGCTTGGTGAGGAAGAGCTGACCTTCCTTAAGGAAGTGACTCTAGGTAGGCTGATTAGACACCAATGGATGAAAATGCACTGAGAGAGACCTGGGAACACTAACTTGCCTTGATAGGCCTTAACATAAGTGAAAGAATGCATGAAATCCAGTGAGGGTCTATGGGAAGGTACTGACAATTAAGATGTTCTGTATTAAATACACAAAAACTCAATTAAAATTATAGAGAGAAAAAAAGTTAGAACTTGAAAAAATATGTTGAAAAAATTTCATGACTGAAAAAAAATCTTAGGCTGTAGGAGGAAACCTAAGATTATTGTTTAGCTTGATTGATATATCTTTAAACCATATTCTGAATATATATGTGTACACTCACAGACAAAGGCAGACTCGGCCTTAAACAATGAAGACTCTCATCTCAGTGAACACAGATGAGTGCAAACCCCTATGACTGTTCAAGATGCTAAAGTAAAGGATAAATGAGGACTCAGCCTTAAAGAAGACGTTTCTGTCATGCTCTTATGGGTCAGGAAACACGTAGAAGAGAAGGCAGAAAAAAGAGCAGGAAGAGATTGAGAGAGAAAGAAAGGCTACAAATTGACATCTTCTAAGAATGAGATAGTCATTGAAATCCTGAAGCCAAAAGAGTTGTTCCTGAGTGTACTGGGCCCACAGAAATTAAGTCCTCCTAATAATAAGGTCTTGAGGGGGTAAGGGGCTCATGGAAACATACCATTTACTTCTAATCTGCAGGCTACTAACAGATTCTTGTAGAGGGGGAGGTATAACAAAGAATTGTACACTCACTGGTGATCCCACCAGGCCCTGACGGTTGTTTTAAAACCAGAGTCAAACAAACAGCTCTCGTTAAAATTTATTGGACACTAAACAAAACAAATACTAGTCAACATACAAATAAGTAGAAATTCAAACACATGGATTCTACATAAAGAGTTACATGGAGGAATAGGACATGATAGAATGCTTGAAGTTCACCCAACATATCCCCAATCAAGTGGCCATTTAAAAATGGATTAAAAAAGACAAGAGTGGGAAAGCTCGACATTTCATTATACAAAGGTAAAAATATTTTAGGTGGGGCTGGAGAGATGGCTCAGCAGTTAAGAGCACTGACTGCTCTTGCAGAGGACCTGGGTTCAATTCCCAGCACCCACATGGCGGCTACGAACCGTCTTAACTCCAGTTCCAGGGGACTCTGAAACCCTCTTCTGACCTCCGCGGCACTGCATGACATGGGTGCACTCACATACATGCAGGCAATACACTCATATTCATAAAATAAAAATAATAAAATATTAAAATATTTTAGGGATGGTACAATACAAAGCAGTCAAGAAACTAGAAAATATCTTCTAAACAGCAAAGAAAACAATCAACTGATTAGGCATCCCACAGATTTGTAGAGAATCTTTTATAGCTTTACATCCGAGAAAGGATTAATTTTCTGACTATACGATGAACTCAAAAAACAAAGAATCACAAAAATAAATGAGGGTCTGGAGAAATGGCTCAGAAGTTAAGAGCACTGACCTTTAATATAGAGGACCCATGTTGCTGTTTCCAGTGCTCAAATGGCAACAATCTGTCCATAACTCCAGTTCTAGGGGATCCTATGTCCTCTTGTGGCCTCCATGGGCATTTTACTCACATGGTATTAAGTACATGCAAGCAAAAACACTCACACACATAAAATAGGATCAAATTTTTAAAATAAAAACAAATGATGCAATTAAAAATGAGTTGTAAATCTGAACCGAAAGTCCTTAGGAGGAAAAATCTGAAAAAAATATATCTGAGAAATACCTTTAAAAGTTATCATAACCTTAGTAATTAGGGGAATTCAAACTAAAACTGCTTTAAGATTTAATATTACCTCAGTCAGAATGACTAATATCAAGAATCTGACAACAAATGCTGGCAAGGATTTGGTAAACTGAGCACTCATTCACAGCTGGTGGGATTGCAAGCTGGTGTAGCCACCGTATAAATCAGTGTGGAGAATTCTGAGAAAAACCGAAAATAGACCTATATCAAGCTCTTCCACTCCTTGCCATGTACCAAATGATTCAGTTTCCTACTACAGAGATACTCGCTCAGTTATATTTATTGCTGCATTTTCACAGTAGTCAGGGCATGGGAAACAAAAACAAAAACAAATGAAATATCTCTCACCAGAATGATGGATAATAGCAATGTGGCATATTTACACAATGGAATTCTATTCAGCTCTAAAGAAAAACGAAATCATGAAATCTGCAAGTAAATGGATGGAACTAGAAGGTGTTATCCTGAATGAGGATGCCCAGACTCAGAAAAACAAGTAACGCACAGTCTATCTCATATGTGAATCCTAGTTCCAAATCCTTAGACATGACTATATTCTGAAGTAACAGCAAAAGCCAGGAAAATAGAAAGGAACCATGAACGGGGAGGGGAAGACGGAGCTCAAGAGAGGGGGCTAGGAAAACACAACCTTTTCAAGGGTAGAATGGAGAAAATAGGGTTACTCTAACGGGGGGGGGCGGGGCGAGGCTGGAATGTTATACACGGTGAGAGATAGAAAAGAGATAAATAAAACTTAAGCGATGTGAAAACACTGTGCATCACAATCTGATGTACATGGAAGCCTCACTGGTGAGAGCTGAGGGGTGCATTAGCCCTTTCTCATCCCTTATTCTGCTATGTTCCATGAGCTTTAGTTTTAGAGATTCGACTGCAAATGTGTCACCTAGTGCGGTGGGGCGGTAGGGAGAGGCATGGATGGGAGAGGGATCTGGATTTGAATGGAAAATGTATGAAATTTTAAAAGCTCATATATATGTATATATATAAGTGAAAATGTATTATTTCATAACCCCACTGAAAAATACATAGACAAAATATATTTGAGTGCATGTGTATAGTTTGAGATTGTATGTTAAAATAATCACAGTGCAAGAGAAATTTGCCTTTGAATTCTTGATCAAGGTAGTGCAAGATACTCTAAATTAATATAGGTTATCGCTATAGACCTAGATTGCTTCCAAGTCACGAAATCATTAAAGTACAACCTTATTTCTGAAGGCACCACATATTTTGAACAAAGGAATTGAAGTAGTTGAGCTAGAACTTGTCTGGAAACTTCCTCCCCTAAAACTAGTTCTAATAGCATCAGAAGGTACTACAAAACTCCCTAAATAGAAAACCAATCAATGGTCTCATGCAGCTATAAAACCTATGAACCACAACAATGATCAGTCCAGCAAATTATCACTATTTGGGACAATAGTAGCACCTTCATCTTGGGGATATTCAACACCTTTCTTACAGCACTTAAAGCCTGCCCAGTAGCTTGGAATCCGTGCTTGGTACTGAAAACACAGGTGAGTACACAGGTTGGAGAGGTGACGGACCCTAGAAAAACATCTCTTACTGTCACTTTCCTAGACCAATGCAATTATTTACTATATTCTAAATATGTGTCCTTATACTCAGAGACAAGTAACTCTCACCACTTATCAGAGAAAAAAATGCAACAAATTGAGATTTTCACAAAGTTCCACAATTGATCCAATGCAGAGAATAAGTGCCCATGAGGTCTCCAGTCCTAGATAACATATCTACAATGCAACCTCTACACTAAGACTCAGTTATATGATCTAAATGGTAGTGGAACAATGGTAAGAGCCTGGTAGACAAACTCAGTTGCTAGTAAATGCATTCTAGACATGATACAGATCCTACACCCATGAAATCTCCACAGTAAGGTAGTTAACAAAATCTGCATAATGGCAAAATCAGTTGACATACAAATTAGAATGTGGAAAATTTCATGAGTCCCCACCTCAAGATGAAGAGCTGCAGGTAATCAATGGATGCTGAGGGAGGGAGAATGAGTTTTCTCCAGGCATTAGTTCTGGAGAGGTTAAATAATTCCAAGTGATCTGCCTTAAATACATGTATACACAAGCAACACTAAATGAATGCTTATTCTATACAATACAATACAATACAATACAATACAATACAATAGAAGATTTCAAGAGATTGTGAAGGAATAGGTGGACATGGGAGGAGCTGGAGAAGGACAGGGAGGGATGGAAATAGTGCGAGCACAATATCATACATGAAAAATACCCAAATTTTCTCCATGTATTGTTGTTCTCATACAGATGAGAAGCCCTATTTCTCACTGAATGTAAAAATCAACTTTAAATTGATTCCTTGGTTAAAATTATTATCTAATTAGAAGATACTGCTGAAGAAATGTATCAAGACATTTTTTTCCAGGATTATATTAGTATTATACATAAGTGAAGTAACGGAGTAAATTGTAACAAATAGAGTTACTTTAAAATGAACATTTTCTAAACAAAAAGTTCTCCAGTTGATTAGAGAACCTCAAAACATGGAGAAAATACTTAAAGAGTTACAAATAATTTGCAACGCTTAATCTGATTCTAAGTTTAAAAGTGGAAAATAATGGGGGGGAGTTCAATAACAAGAAGTAAGTAATCTAATGAAAAACGGGCCATATACCGAGGAAGATGAATGTGAGGAGGTCTACTAGATGTCCAAAGAAGAAAGGCTCATGAGCTACATCACTAATCCCCATAGACATGTGATTGCAACCAGGCTAGGGTAGGACCTCAAATTTTCCTATTATGACAAAGACTGGAGATAAGACAGGCTAGTGAGAAAATAGCATCCTCAATCTAAGTGGGATTGTAAGTAAGTGCTTCTATGACACAGAATGCAGGTTCCTAAAGAAGGAAAATGAACAGTAGTGACCACGTGAGCTAGTCTCTCTGAAGGCTTATGTCACAATATGAGAAATCAGTTTTTCTAGAGAGGTCTGAGCACCCATGCTCACCTTTCACAATGATTTTAGCAGTCATGTCACTGAACTTCCATGAATGAAAGAGGTGGTAAATAATAAGTTATCATGGACATACAGCTGAATCACACTATGATTTTAAACAGAATTCAGTTGTGTCATTTCAGATAACCTGTCTGGACATGGAGGATGTTACTGGAATAAGTCAGTCAGATAGAGAAAAAATGTGTGATAGGTTGTCAGATGGACTACAAAAATGCATTCAAGACATCTGCTAGAATAAATGTTTCTATGGATAATTGCAATTTACATATACTATAATTAAAAATTATGAAAATAGATTATAGTACCTGTTGGCACTAAAGTTTATATATGCATGGTGGTAGTGCCAGTGTTTACGCATATGGAAATTTATTCACTTCCTGCAGCCATTTTAATAAAACGAAAATATAAAAGCAGAGTAAGCATAGCCCTGTAGGATAGGGCTCTCATGTGTCTGGACAGGGGCCTACCACCCCTCCCCCAATCCCATAGCCCGTTGATAATGTGTCTCCTCCACCTTTGATTTGGTTGTTCTCAAGCAAACCTCTCTGCATGACCCAAAGAAAGGTGCAGGTCTTAACACATGGTCAATTCCCACAGCTATAAATGAGGACACTGGTGTGTCAACATCGATAGGGGACACACTCAAGGACGGACACAAGTGATTAGGAGTGGTTTTACTCGTTTACAAAATTACTTAAAGTGAAACAATAAATTCTGAAGACGACTTGGGAACCTTTTGTGATCCCAGACAAGTAGTTATTTAGTAAAGAAACGTGAGCATTGATGATAAGGTTGGGATCAGCATGAAACAAAGGAACAACTAACTTCTATTTTCTCAGACATATATATTTTCACCGTAGCCCCCACTCTCCTAGCTTCTTTCCCTCTTACTCCTGATGATCCTCTTATTCTTCCCAGTTAGTCCCCCTTCCACTTTAATATTTACTGTTTGTTTTGGTGACTTGATGGTTTTAGTTAACGTTGATTACTGGGACATGTGTGAGGGAAGAATTTTTATAACATTAAGTGTTATATTGTAGAGCATGTAGAGATTTTTAACATAACTGGCAGTAAAAATTACTTTTACTATAATAAACATAATTTAATTTGCATTTAAAAAAATATTTTTCCTTGATATGAGGAAGAACATGTGAGAGCAAACCAGGATGGTGGTGGGAGGATGCCACAGCACAGCAAGGTGTCCATCTTCATGTCTCCTCAAAATATCACATGATGGTGGTGACAATAGACGAGATTGAGCAGAGTTCTATGCCCCACATTCACAGTGTAATTTGCCTGTTATTCTTATCCATAAGCCAAGTCTGTCCACTTTAATGTCCAAAGGTATGCAAGCAAAGAACACAGCAGGGCCGTTCTTGACAGAGGATGCTGAACATGCCAGCTCTCCCAGAACCTTGCAGGGGACATAGATTTAGTGACAACTGAAGTCAAGGTAAGTGACTAGTCTGTATTTAAGCCACAAAGTTCAGAAAATACATTTTCTGGTTATAAAAGGAGAAATGAGAGTTGTGGGTCGTATCTGAGGCTGATGTGCTCAGTCCTTAGGGAGAAGAGGGGACATTTGGGAACTGTTAGATTTTAGGATCATATTGCCTGATTCTAATTACCTCTCCTTTCCTCCTAAATCCTAAATGCTGTGGTATTTAGGGACTCTCAAGGGAACACAGCCCAGAGTCTCAGGAGAGAAACCTCAGTAGGCAGGGTCCCTAGGCTTCCTCACATCTGATCTTGGTGAGCACTACAGAGTCATTTCTTCCTTCGAGGATATCATCTGAAATTTTGTTTAAGTGTGGATATTTATTTAAAAAGAGAAATTAAAATAAAAAGTATTTTACAGTAATCACAGATTAGTACAGACCATAAGTCTAAAGAGTATCTATGAGAAACTGGTTAAATCAAACAGCGACCAAAAGAGGAGCGTTAAGTCTGACCTGCTCCTGAGGGCTGAGTTGAGCTCTGAGTGTGCTGTGCTCCCCCTGCTGATCATGAGTACCCTCAAAGTGAATTTTGTGCATAGGCCACACTGAAGTCCCCTCACTGTGGGTCTTGCACAGTAATACATGGCCGTGTCCTCAGATCTCAGACTGCTCATTTGCAGGGACACAGTGTTCTTCTCATTGTCTCTGGAGATGGTGAATCGGCCTTTCACAGGGTCTGCATAATATGTGCTTTCCACAAGCTCTAATTCGTAATCACTTGAAGCATACTCTGTACTTGCCACCCACTCCAGCCCCTTCCCTGGAGCCTGGCGGACCCAACTCATGCCATAGCCATCGATGGTGAATCCAGAGGCTATGCAGGAGAGTTTCAAGGACCCTCCAGGTTTCACCAAGCCTCCCCCAAACTCCACCAGCTGCACTTCACACAGAACACCTGCAAACACAGAGAATCCTGGTCAGGAACATGTCACTTATGTCCATAGCCCCCCTCATTCCTGCCCACTTCCACACTCAGCATCTCTTATTCTCCATAAATTACTTTGTAAAAGAGCAGCAAAGAAAACCCAGCTCAGTCCTAACTCCATGATGAGCTGTGTTCAGTGCTAATCACTGAATGGAAACACCTGGGATTTCAGGGTTGGGCTTCCCTGCCAGAGCTGCAGAGTCAGCACTGGGCTGTGCTTTACGAGCAGAGTGGGGTCATATTTGCATCTCTTCCTGTTTTTAGTGAACATTGGTGTGCCTGTCTAAGCAGGCAATTCTGAGAGCGGGTGTATGTGCTGTTCAAAGTTAACATTATACGACTGAATCCACAGACTCTGAAGCAGCTATCAGAGATATGATGTATTCTACAATTCAGCAGTGGGAAAATTTAGCTTTTCTTTCTCACCACTGGGAAGCAGTGCCCCCCTAGTCCAGCTGCAGGAGATAGTGGAATACCCCAACTGAGGCTGGTGGAATTCCCTTCAGTGAGAACATGGGGCAGTTGTCTTAGTCCAGCATTATTCTGAAGACAGGAATAAGTAAACTGTACGAAAACACATTCAGAAACCTGGGGTTACTCCCATGCTGCTGTCTTGTCTGCAGCTTAATCTCTACTCTTCTTCATCCACTGGCTTATTTTTGTCAGAATCATTGGGTCATATTTAACTTAAAATATTTTACCATCCAGACTTTGGGCATTCCTTGAAATATGTCTTCACCTATGAAGTCTTGACCATGTAAACATTGTCAAACCTTTGAAATTTTGATCCCTGAAAGCAGATCCTCCAAGGCATGTGATTGTGGAGAAGAAAATCTTGATTTCCACAGCTATTACCACATGAATTAAGAAGTCTTTTCCCAGTGTTGCAGATATATACCTTGTAGCAACTAGATAGCAATATCTTACATCCACATACTTACAGATATATACAGTCATCTCAAGGCAAAGGTCATGCTTGTAATGGACTTTGGGTAATATATAGTTTCCTATACTACACTGCTTTAAACCCTGGTGCACAAACCTAAAGTACTCCACTGAAGAACTTTCAGTCACCTGTCCCAATGTGCATTGGTTTATGTGTCTTAGGGAAAAATCTGATTGAGGTAGACCAACTGGAACCCAAGTCCAATTCTCAGTGTCATCCCTTCTACCATCATGGTCTTCTAGAGCACTTGGTTTCTGGTCACATAAGCAGAATACTTTTCCAGTGATGTTAACAGTTTCTTCTAGCAGCACTAGTATATCATAAACCAAATGTGAATGAATAGGGCCAGATCTGGAAAGAACAGATCCCTCCTCTCAACAATGTATGTGCTTTGGTAGAATTAACCAAGTGGACTACATATTATCATCTAGTAGTCTTCCAAGGCTTCTTCCTTGAATGATAAGACTAGAATGTGTTGTTCTCACCTTAGGGATAGTTAATCCCATCACTCATCCATGGATCATGGTATAGAAGCCTTGTACACAGCAGGGTACTATGACTGACCATCAAGTTCCTTGGACTTCTCCAGGTACTACTATCAGATTCATCCTTTGAGGTTCCTGTTCTTGGGGGATTTGGTTCTCTTTGGATATTCAGCCACAGTGTTTGAATTATGGATTGACAGGCAAAATTCATGTGCTGTACGTACAGTATTGAGGGATAGAAATTTAGGATGTAACTGGGCTATGGCAACTCTGATGTTAAGTCTGTGATTACTGGTATTCTGTGATTTCCCAGCTCCATTTCACTGCATACATCCTTATACCTCTCTACCATGCAATGGTGTCAAATCAAGGCCCTTGTCACATAATGACACCTTGACAATAGCCCTTCTGGGTAAAGAAAATTGAGCCAATTCACCACTGTTCACTGAGTCTCAGCATTGTGCCATGGAAGCACAAAGGGAACTAGAGACGAATTTTACTGAGGAGAGAGGCTGTTTTTATAAATGACAAAGATATAAAAGCACTTCTGCATACCAGTGACTCTGAGAGGCTGGAGCAGATTTGACCACAGTGTTACAATAGGCCTGTATTTCCGTGACTGGGGGATTAATGACAACTGTTACTGGAAAGAATGGAACAACAGTGGGAATAGCCTGAATATTAAAGATTAGCAAACTGGTTATGACAAAATTTCTGGGTCAAATGTGAGCAGAAATGAATTTGATGATGTCGTAGAAGAAAATGACCAATGAGATATTGAAAATAGGAGTGTCATCCTTATTATTAGATAGTTGAGATGTCTGAATGCTTCCAAGCGTGATGGTTTTTTGGAGTTCAGAAGTGCTGTGTGAAAATTCTGTGTGTTTGAGAGAAATATCTTTGTAGCATAGCATTCACAATGCTCCAGGGCTTATTACCTGCTTACGGTCAGTGCAGGGAGCAACATGGAATAAATAAACCCCAAAGAAGCTAAAATGATTTTTATAGGAAACTCCCAAAATGTCATAGAATGAAAAGAGCGTATGGAAGAAAATCAAGGGTGAAGCAGCTGAGTCTGACATTGAAATTCGGGAACTGTTTGTAACCAAGTGTTCAGATGAAAAGGAAATGAATTTTAAAGGTTCTTTTTGTTCTGTTTTTCAGACAGCGTCTCCTTGTAGCCAAGGCTCGCATGGATCTCCCTTCGTAGACAAGACTGACCTTGATTTCACAGAGATCTGCCTGCTTCTGCCTCCTTCCTAGTGCTGGGAGTAAAGCCATGTGTCATTACACCCAGTTTGAGGCTTTTGAAACCACCTTTCCTATCCCAGGAGCAGCATGCTTGCATCATTGGGGTCAAAACACTTGAAAGAGAAGCCCATGGAGTTCGTGGCACCTCACTGTTTACTGTTCAGCTCTGTCAAGCATCATCTCTCTGCTCCATTCAGCAGCACTTTTCAGTCTGAACTCAAGCCAGTCCACTTGCAGCTGGGAGAAGACAGCTATAAAACATGCCACTGTCCATATGTCATAATGTTTGAGGTTCCCAGTGTGCAAAAGGCATGGAATTCTGTGACTTTTTCCACCATGTCCTCAGTGGATCCACAGAGAGCTCTGGGCTGATGCAGACAATTCTCATGTGGTGGCACCTCCACAGAGACTATCCACCAGGATAGTACCCAGTGGACCCAAAGGAGCAAGTCCACTCTCAACACCTAAGAGCTGTAGGGATTTAGCAGACAGTGTCAGCCTGGGAGTTATGAAGGCTGTTGGCTCCAACCTGGGACAGCTGTAGCATGGCTGAGCCCAGCAAATCCAGAGTGGCAGGGCTGCCTGAGACCTTGCTACACCCTCCCCAGTGGACAAGAGGGGACATATTTAGATAATTACTATCAAGTCTTAAAAATTAATGTTGCTTGTCCCAAGGTGTTCTAGTTTATTAGAATTAGTAATTCTTTCTCTATTCTAACTCAGACTGTGGTAATGGAAATGTACACTGTCTGCTCATTCCAACATGATACTTTGTAAGTACCCAGCATAGTTTTGTCAGCACATATATGGAGGAAATTTCCATCATGATGAACTATATCATAATCTCCATTTTTCTTACTTTGGAGTTTTTGTGCTTTGGAGCTTCATGTTGATATCAGAATGAGTTTAGAATAGCCAGGTTTGGGTGGGGGATAGTGTGAATATGTTTTATACAGTGAGAATAATGGAGGTGGGTTGATAGGTTTTGGAAAGCTGTTTTCAATGTTGGCTTCCCTCTGAAAGTCATGCTGAAATCTCATTCTGGCCTTGATAGTGATGAGAGGTGGGATCTTTAAGAAATAATTTGATCACTAGATCCTGTCCTCCCAGGTGGGGTAGGTAGCATTAAAAAAGTGTAATTTCATCTCTATTTCTTTTCTCACTGTTCTCAGGTTTGCCCATGTGATGATGCGGCAAGAAGGCCCTCCCTAGACACCAGCACCCTGACTTTGACTCACCCCGACCAGAACTCTGGAATTCATAACTCTGCTAACTGCAAATCACCTGTTTCAGGTAAGCTGTTATGCCAACCAAAATGAGATTAAAGCAATCCATCTTCACTGTACTGTCTCCCTGGAACACTGATGGGTCATTTAAATTAATTCTGTTAAAAAAAAACACCACTTCTTTTAAACTAGAGATAGAAAAGCAAAACATTGTAGCACAGCAGTAGAGATGTCAAAAAAGAATCAGAGGAGTAGTTACACAGGCAGTGACCTGAAATGGAAGACTGAATGCATGTGAAACAACAGTTTCCCTAAAGTTTGAGCATGACAATGCACTTCTATACCAGTGCCAGGAGTATTGGAACATGACTGGTTATTTAAACTAATTTATCTATTATTTTTCTTTTTTAAATTATTTTGTTGTGAATTTTAAGAACATAGTTTGATCATATTTAGACCCCTCCTGTACCTGTACCCACATTATACAAACTTTGCTCAATAAACCTTAACATATGTAAGAGAATGCATGAAAACAGGCTGCAGGGGTCTATGAAGGAGTGCAGATAGGACAGGGTGTCTAAATATGATTAAAATGTAGTAGGTAAAATACACAAAAATCAAAAAGTTCAAAAAATGATTTATAGAGGGATTCCTAGACAGCTCCTTGGTACAAACATTGACTTCACCTCTTGGGGGGGGGGCAGGTTTGGTTCATGGCATGGTGGCTAACATCTGTCCATTTCCCCATATCCAAAGGATCCACCAACCTTTTCTGGCCTCTGAGGACATTGCATGACACAGATTCAGTTAAGTACATGCAGGAAAAACATTTGTACTCACAAATTAAAATAATAAATTAAAACAAAAATCTTAAATATGTACATGACTTCAAATATTTTAAGGTCATAGTTCATTCAGCCTTTGAATTAAATAATTGAAGCTATTCATCTGTTCACGTTTACAATTACTCAGGCTGACTCAATAGCACAAATATATGTCTAATTAAATTCTATTTAGTAATAGGTTTTTCTTTTTCAGAGCTGAGGACTGAACCCAGGGCCTTGTGCTTGCTAGGCAAGCACTCTACCACTGAGCTAAATCCCCAACCCCTTAGTAATAGTTTTTACTGAAGCTTTAAGTATAATATAGTAATTATATATACCAGAGGGAGGCGAGTAAACTTCTGTTAGTTGACCATATTTAGAGGCCTATG